ATTTTCTCTTAATTTTATGTGATTATATTAATTGTAGCCTAATAAATAAGATAAATTTGATACCATCATTATATAAACCACATACAAAAAATAACATAATACGTATAAACGTGCTTTAGTTACTTAGCAAATAAAATATTATCTATAGAATAAGAAACAAATAATATAATAGTAATGCAATGAGAAAAAGAAAACATTCTAATTTTCTTAGAAAAGTATGAATACCAATATTTACAAACAAAAAGTCTTTTAAAACTACTACTTTTTTTGTTGCTAGCGTTTAAATATATGGACTCTATAAGAAATTGGTTCTCATAAATAATGATCATATATTATTTATTTTTAATTTTAAATAATTAAAAAATCTAAAAATTTGCATGCATGATGTATATTTTAATCATGACTCCATAATAATAAACTTTACAAATGACTAAAAGTATCGTCATATAATAGAATTCTAATTCTTCTGTTGTCAAATATTTTAACAAATGATATTAATGCAAGCTTAAGCGTCCTGGTCCGGTTTGAACGGATAGATCTTGGTCCTCGCCGGCAGAACGCCGGAAACCTGCAAATAACTCTCACACCGGGGTTGTGTCCGGTGAAGAGCCTCCGATACTTAAGTCAGTATGTGTATGAGTATGCTGAAGTGAAGTATGGAAAATAGAATGTGTTAAGGGAAGAAGGCTCACCCCCTTTATATAGGGGTGAGATACCTGCCCTAATAGCTGCCCGAATAGGGATGAGCCGGCTGCCCAAGCTGCCCGTCCGCGCCGCGCACATGTCAGAGATGGCGCGGGACGTTGGGAGCTGTCAGAGGTGGTTATCGCTATCACCCAATACATTGTCGACATGTGTCCCCCCTGCACATGGGGTAAATATTCTCCTGAGATTCAGTTAGAGGCTCTTACGCGCGCTTGTGCTACACGCGCCCATGACTAGGTCGACTTTTGGTTCCTCGAAACGATCGACCTGTTGAGGTCGAATAGGCTGCCCGATCATGTATTGGTCGAGCGATGGGTCGCTCGATCGTTTGTCTGGTCGTGCGATGGATTGGTCGACCACCTGCCTGGTCGATTCCCTGAATATTTGATCTTCCCGCCTTTTGGCTCGGCTTCCTCCTGGTTTAACCTTCTCGACCGGCCAAGCAGACCGGTTTAGCCTTGTGTATATAATATCCCATATCAGATATGCTTCTCAATATTTTCTCATTGCTTTGTTTTATCATTGCAAAAAATAGATTATTTTGTTCGTCTATATTCTAGATAAATAACACTGAAAATAAAATGTAGGAGTATCAAAACAATTTTGAATGTTAGAATTAAGTTGTCACTTTTTATAGAAATATTTATAATCTCATTGGTGTATTGTGCTTGAACATATGTGCAATTACTTTAAAGGTACTTTCAGGTAATGTATGATGATTTCAAAAAATAATTTAGTACCTCGGGAGAAGTACATGTAACTAAAATTTTAGAAAGTCAACTTTTATTTGGAGATAAAATTCATTCCCACCTCGTGGGGCGATGCATCAATGGGGTAGACACCAGTATATCTAGAGATAGAGGAATGTAGTAGTTTATACAATGATAAAAAATATCAGCAATTTTAGTGACACCGTTAGTTATTTCATAGAGATATTTATCCTTTTTTAGTAGAAGTAACTTGTTATAAAGATCATACGATCATGAAGTTTGACTATATATTGGGTCAGAATGTTTCTTAAGTGTTTGAATAAAATTGACCTTTTGCCAAATTAATTAAGAGGAATTTTGCAATAGTATTGATGTATTGGACTCCAACGACTATGAATGTATTGATGTATTATAGAACGTTAAAACTAAAATGAAAGAAAATCTTTGTGTTTTTTTTATTAGGAATTTGTTTTTTTATATATATTTTTGTTGGGGTTTGTAAAACGTTATTTCACTATTTTTATATGAGGACATCATTACGTTAATTCTAAATAAAAAAAATGACATATTAGTTCATTTTTTCTATATTTTACTTCATTTATGCAATGATATGTTTAGTAAATAAATTAATTTATTTTACTTCATATATTCCTAATATCGCCTCAAACCATCCAAAGGTGCCAAAGTCCATTTTTGAAAGACCAAAGTCAAGATTCAAGACCAAGACCAAGACCTTGGCATGCGTCCATTGATATATAGGTGCTGAGGTGCATGTATGCCATGGCTAAGACTATTAAAACTTAAAATACTGAAATTTTAGTAGAGGTCAACAAATAATTACAAACAAAACAACTAGAAATGTAACATATATGAATAACCACAACATTGTATAAGATGAGAATCAAATATGAGTAAATTGAAAGACAAAAGAAACAAATTACGGCACTGCCACTGTCCCGGCCACATAACTAAGCCCAGAACACCAAACTCTTAAAACCCACCACCACGAAGCCCAACATCACCGCCATCCCAGGAGACAACACCACCGACGCCGCCGCTGAATATGGCTGCGCAAAGCTGCCGGTGCGTGGAGTGGGCGGCACCGGAGAAGTAGTTGTGGTGGTGGCGGTGGCGGTGGCAGTGGCGGGCGTGGTGGCGGGGGCCGTGGTGGTACTACCAGCTGCTGCCACAGGGACAGCGAGCCTCATCCCGCCGGCACAGTGGCCAGGGATGGCGCATATGAAGTAGTGGGTTCCAGCTGTCTTGAGGGTGATTTTGGTGGCCCCGCTGCTGTCCGTGGTTATGGAGTTGCCGGTGGTGCACGATTGGAAGTCCGCCTGTGACACCTCATCCACCGTGTGCCCAGGGGAGTAGTTGAAAACTAACATCGCATCTCAATAATTATTATTTTTTCATAAATAAAAAGGAAAATGTAGTCCTATTAGGGAACCATTCCGTCAAGATTTGTAACTGTTAGATCATCATGTAATCGTCGTGATAGTTGATCTAACGGTTACAAAACTCGACGGAATGGTCCCATAACGGACCTTAAAATCTCCCAAAATAAAAATATATGAGGAGAGTAACTATATAGTTAGTTACCAAGGGTATCACCAACAGCAAAGGCCTTGTCACTAGTCCAAGTGGTGTAGTCAGCTCCACTGGCCCAACCTGTGGAGTCACCCACTGTGTAAACTGCTGCTGCTCCCAATCTGCTCAGGCACACCATCAGTATCATCATCAAACTAACTTTAATTAATATTCCCATCTTTTCCTAGTTTAATTTGTATTTTTTTTTTTTCTTTTTTAAGGTCTGAATTGGGTATTGAGAAGATCAGAGCAATGAAAAATGCATGCAACACATTTGATATATATATAGAGTGCAAGTAAGAGTTGGTGCACTTACTCATATATAAATAGGCCCACCTCAAATTGGGTATTAATTATTACAGTTTGGTCACAATATTATTAAGTGAAGTTGGGGCAAAAATAAGAGTCCAAAAGTAGATGATCATAATGTGGTGTTTTATCTATTTTTATGCTATTAATTAAAACTGGTTAAAAATGTCAGCTTCTATCTATTTATTTTTACACCAATTTTATTGCTAAAAGCGGCCAGCTAACATGATTATATTGCCAACAGAAACTATGTGGGATCAATATTAAAAAGCACACACGGTGAGAGGCAAAACCAAATATTTTGCTTAAGTTAGACTCTACACCATACATAAAAAGCATATGGAATGTGACAACATGTTTTCTTGGAGTGGTTGAGATATCTTAATATTACATCATAAGATTTGAAAATTAAACTAAAACTTCTATTTTATTCTTTTCACATATGTTTTTCTAACATTTTAATGTCGTTTTTTTTTAAGGAAACACCCAGGAAGGTGGGGGTTAGGCCGGACCGCCCAATCTGTATATATAAAAAGCCTTAAGTGGGCTGAAAAGTCACAAACCTACAAGTCCAATGTCTGAAATATATCAATACAATCAAAAAGCAAAAACAAGAAACGAAAAAGAAAACAAGCAAAAGCTGACAACAGCTGTCAGTAAACACAAAGATATATAACGTACATCTCCTGGTCCGGAAAGAGTCAAGGCAAAAATCAGCGTCACGAGAGAGCGGATGTACCAAAATGTAGACCGACTACACAAATTTAAATGAAGAGTATCACATCTGGTCCATTCGTATAATGGTATGGAAGCGGAGATGAATATCGTCAGGGTAGAGTATGCGTATATGGGGGTTGGAAAAGATCATCTTGATGTGAAGATGAGAGCATGAAATTAACAGTTTAGAACAATATTTGAGCTCAATATCAATAATCTAATTTAAATGAACATCGACAAACACCCTTTTACTTAGAAAACAAAAGCTATAATTATGTGACACAATTAATTGCATTAATCAAAGTTTAAAAAAGCATTTTTACTTAATTAATTATATTATCCTTTTGGTCCTTATTATGAGGCAGGTGGAGAAGTTGGGCTAACATGTATGGTTCATCAACTAGGTTAAAAATTGCTTTCTTTTATTCTTCAACAAATCGTTCTCCAACACCATAATTAGAGACAGGTGAAAAGCGATATGTCTTTTATTTTAATTTTTTTTTTTTTTAAAGACCAAACTACTACCAAATGTACTTGCCCCCATCTAAGGCCATCTCTAGCCCTTATCTCTACTCTAGCGCGACTTTACTCTATTCTAGAGTAGAGTTAAGCATTCTTCTTCAACCCTTATCTCTACATTTTACTCTACATCAAATATATTATTTTTTATTCTTTTTTAATTCAAACAAAGTAATTATATTTATATATATATTTAATCTTATATAAATACTTATTACAAAAATAATAAAAATATATATTTTATTTATGTATATTTAATTTTATAAAAATATGTATTACTTTAAAAATAAAAATATATAAAAATACAAAATTATTTAACATAAAAAAATATATTACACAAATTTTAATTTAACATAAAATATATTTATTAATCCACATTATAAAAAATATATCATTAATATTACAAATACATAAAAAAACAACAACCAAAAAAAAAAAATCTGGAGTTGTGAACAGTGCAGCGCTACAATTGGCGCAACACTGTTCACATCACTGAAGTAGCGCGGCTTTGTGGCGCAAGGCTGGAGTAAAATGTGGCGTTACTCTTGAGAGATAACGCCACACTGGAGAGGCTCTAATCTAAGATAATTAAATTAGTGTATGACCAAACATTCACACATTTTATAAAGGGGACATTTTATTATAAGGTCAACTGGTATCCCATCTTCATGAATAAATTCTATTCTTTCTTATTGGAGTAGCTTTGTTACGTACGCCTACAATTTGATTTTAAAAAAAAAAAAAATTACAAAAGAGAAAATTGCAATTTTAGTTCACTAACATAAACCGTTTTCTAATTTCGTCTAGTAATTTAGTTGGATCCGAAATTGGTCCAAAAAACTCTTAAATTTTAGCAAATTTAGTCTTATTTCGGCCTAGATCGTCGGAATTCGATGAGAAGTTCCTGAGTTGGCAAATTTCGACGTTGACTAGAATGAAGTGGACTGATTTCCGGCAGAATAACTGATGTGACTATTTTCATTTTTTTCCACGTCATTTTTCCTAAGATGATTTTAATTCCAAGATTAAAAAAATCCGTTGGTTGTCAGTGAAGAACCTCGGGAAATCTAACTCCAAATCGCGCATTGTCGATCAGAATGATCCCACCGTCGCCTCCTCTGCCGTGATCCACTCCAGCAGTGTCGCCGCTGAACCTCACTCCCGAAGACAATCCGTTTCGCCACGTTCAACGTCGTGTTCTTCACCACTGCGTCGGCAGTCCTTCACAGAGGAAAATTGTCGAACACCTTGTGGGCGGAGCTCGTACATTTCCAGCAAGGGTCCAAATTCACCAACAACCGCCCCAAAAGCATCCTCACGCACTTATCGCGCCACCCAGCTGCAAACCCCCATCAAACTCGCACCATGCAGCAGAAATTCACAAGGTCGAGGTTGACGATTCGATAAACTTACCGTACAACGAGATTTAGATGAGGAGAAGCGGGGGCTGCTAGGCTTCTGGATTCTCGGGGGAAAGACGCTGGAGAGGTTGAGCAGCACGCATTTAGTCGGCGCGAAGAGCCTGGGTGGTGATGGGGTGTTCTTCTCCGTTGCGTCGGCGGTCCTTCACACAGGAAAATCGTCGAACACCTCGCGGGCAGAGCTCGACCGTTGCCAACGAAGGTCCAAATTCACCAGAAATTTCCCCAGAAGCATCCTCAAGCATTCTTCGCGATACCCGACCGCGAACCCAGATTAAACTCTCACCAGGAAGCAGAAACTCACGAGATCGAGTTTGAGGGTTTGATAAACTTACCGGACAACAAAATTCCGATGAGGAAAAGCGGGCAACTGGGCTTGGGAAGACACCGGAGAGGCCGAGCGGCGCGCGTTTCGTCGGCGTGACGAGCTTGGGCGGTGACGGGATTGAGGGAGCAATCGATCGGTTTTGGAGGTATTGAGGG